AGTTAAAAGAAAAAACTCGAGTTTATGGGTTTTTATACTTGTTCTTAAGTTGACTTGCTTTAAGGGAGAAAAACATGTTCAATATCCGGGAATTTTTTCAATTTTTTTTTAAATCAATTTTTAATGCTGTACAAAAAGCTCACAGCGAATCAGCCAGGGCTTTCTCAGAAGAACCGCCCTTGACAAAATTACCATTTTCTCATAGGTTTAGAGTTAACGAGCATTGAATATTGGGAAATTCGAAGCAAAGGAAATCATTTTGTGTGGTTCCAATCTTTTCCTCGTAACTCCGTTAATTATCTGCATATTTGTTAAATTAAGGCTCGGTTTCGTGGAGAAATATGTATGCTAAAATATGGTTCCCGAATTTTGCAAATCCCACGGAAAACAAGGGAATTTAACGTGTTTGATTGTACAAATTTTGAAAATTTGTTTAATTTCTGACGATAACTGTTTCCGCTGTTTATGCTTCGAGTAAATGCTTTGAAATTTTAATCGTCGTTCAAAAGTTCTAAGGCGACTAGCTGAAAAGAAGAGAAACACTATTTTGAAAAAATTGTCTTTAAATCATCTTTTTCTAATGTTGCTGGAAAGCCTTACAAATTGTTAAACAGAGTTTTCTCACAAGAAACTGCCGTTCATAAAATTTCCAATTTCTCATAGTTTTATAGTAAACGAGCTTTGAATGTTGAAAGTTCAAAGGCAATGGTGATCACTGCGGGTTTCCAATCTTTTGATCGCAACTCCGTTACTTATCCCAGCTTGTGTTAAATTAAGCTTTGGGTGAGTAGAAAAATCAGTACGCTAAAAGATGGCTTTTGAAATTGATAAATCTACCGGTAAACAATTTACTATGATACATCAACTATGCGCTTTTTATTGTTAAAATTTTCCAAATTTCCTTCATTTGCTTGCGTTAAATGTTCCTGCTGGTAAAGGCTTCTAAATCCTAATCTCGTGGTTTTAAAGGTTACTTGCTTTAAAGGAGAAAACGCGATTTTGGGAATTCTGATCATTTTTTGAAATTTTTCTTTAAACGTTTTTTTCGATGTTGCTCTAAAGACTCACAAACTCTCATCCAAGATTTTCAGACGAAAAACCGCTCTTGCTAAAATAATTAATTTCTCATAGTTTTCAAGTAAACAAGTAAAAAAAAAATCTTTCGATGTTTGAATGTGAAGTGGGAGCTTGAATTTTTTTGTGCTTTTAACTTTTGCTGCTTTCAACTTTTCCTTGTTGCTCTATTATTCATCTGAATTTCTATGTCAGTTAAAGCTGAAAAAGATATAAATATTGGCATCTTAATATATGGCTAGCGAAATTTGTAAAACAGCAGGAAAACAAGGGAATTTATGCGCTTTTGATTGTTGAAACTTTCAACATTCGATTGGTTTTTGACGCTAAGTGTTTATGCTTCCAAATCCTAAATTCATTGTTCGAAAGTCGACTTGGTCTAAAGAGAAAAAACCCAATTTAGCAACTCTGAGGAATTATGGAACTTTCTGCTTCAAAGTTCTTTTTTAAACGAATCACCACTTCGACCGTTACTTCATCGCTCTGGATAATATTCACATCAGATGTGTTCAAAATGTCAAGAAACAATGCCCAATGGTCCACTTCTTCTCAGGCCGGAAAACTTTTCAACCGATATTGACTACTTCTTCATCTCAATCAACTGAACTCACTAGAAAAAATGGTGGCAGCAGATCCCTTGATTTCTCTATTGCATTGAATTGACACAGATGATTGATTGGGGATGCAGACTGATTGTGATTTCGACGCAAATTTGAGTTGTTGCTGGAACTCAAGAGCATTTTGTTTGAAAAATCGTTCAGGAATCGTCCAAAATGATCTAGATAATCTGGTCGCACCTAAACTCATAAACAAATCGGACACATCGTTTAGTTTATTGTCAATGTGGGACTATTCGAGTTTCCTGATAGCCCTACCAACCGGAAATCATGGAGGGCCATTACCATCCCTTTAATATGCAATAAACTCATTAGCAACGACTCGTGACGCTCGTCAAACATGCAACTTGTACACGCGACGTCGCCGTCTCAAATTCGACGGCCACTTGTTGGCTGAGGAAATCGGTCAATATTTTCAGGCTAATCTATTTCAGAAGCACTTGATCTTTAAAAGCAAGTGCCTCCTTCATTTACAATCGACTTTGGCACGAGATGAATAACGTTCGAGCTCAGCCAGCTCGTTTAATTGGAGACGTGGATTATCAATTTACAAGGCACCGGATCGGGGTTCGAAAGGTGTTCAGATAATCAATAGGTAATTTTTGGTAAATTAATTTTCCCTTTAGTTGGGCGGCTTTTTATCACCAGGGTGGACCCTTTGAATCTCAATGTTATTAAGCGTGAGGCGGACATTCGACGTTTCGATTTCCCCACACATACACAATAATAAGTGATCACATCCAACAAATAATATATAAACTCAGACTATTTTAAAATGTTTTACATGGTTTCTTCAAAACTGACGCAAAAATCTTCAAATAATTTATCGAAGCAATTCGCTTGAGTAGTAGTAGGATGCTTCATTGTAGCGCGCAATTGTATTTGATAGATATGTTTAGTACGCATGTAATTATTGCCCTTCTAAGCCCCCAACTATCCTGAAATTAATTGTTGATTTTCTCCCACAAACAACGTAATTTATGCTCAAGGCTCAGATGCGGCACATTCTGAGTACTGTCGGATTCAAATGCCGCTTTTGAGAGCATATCCAGCTTTCCAATTTAAGCCGCAACACTGCTCAATTAAAATTAACGCTTCGTTCGCTGTTCAATTAGAAGTTGTGATAACAGGGTTGGGCGAATGTCCTTAATAGTTTTAATCAACGAACTTACGTGATTACTTAAACTGTCCGAGGGATACGTGACCGGTATTGAAAGACTTAACTAAAATTGAAAATGATACAAGTTATTAAGTAACGTGGATTAAAGGGCCGAGAATGAACAAGTTGGTTTTACATGTGCTAACAGTTCCTGCTGGAAATGGCTGAAGTTTTCCTCAACGAAAATCTTTAATTAATATTTTTCCAAAGTGTATTTTTGGTTTGCTCCAGGATGTACGAATTAGAATGCCGAAAAGCAAAAATAGAGAATTTTGGCAAATAATCTTAATCAATTCCGCCAATTAAAAGTCAGATTACTATTTTGCATTATTATTTGTAAATAATCTCCAATGTTAAGGCAACTATTTGGGAACATTGGGAACATAAGTTTGTCTCCATTTTTAAAGCAAGTAGATTTAGATACGTTTCTGTGTGTTGCAAAAAGCATTATATTCTAGACGCAAAGTATATGAGTAGAAATATCCATTTTAACTAATCGGGGAACGTTCTCAACATGAAACTATAACAGCACTTGCTGGTTTGTAGAAATAATCGCTAGGAAAACTTCTCGAACCATGAAGAATTCGAGAGGACGATATCGTCTTAATAAGAAACGACATACAGGAACTGGGTTGATAAATTAAAACATCGTAATGATGCCTTGAAGAATGTCAGGTTGAAAGGAAACAGGTTAAAAACACAAATAATTGGCAACACCAATACCTAGATGATACAAAAAGACAAGAAAAATCTAAAGGTAGAAATAACTCAAAGAATAAAAGACGAGTTTAACCGGGCTTCGGGAAGATGAAATACACATTGAAAAACCACCATATCCTTGTAAATTGTTAGAAAAAGGCTTGTGGCACTTGCCCCTTGCCAGTAGCGGCAATGGGTTTGGAAACAATTAAGCTAAGAAAAATTACCGCCAAAAACATATAGATGATGCACACAGCGATGGAACGGACAGAGACGACAAAAAAATCACTGATGAAGAAACTCCAGAAGAAACCAAAGTTATGGATACAATAAAAAGACAAACTCAATCCAGATGGACGTCTAAGTAAGAAGATGCCTGGATGTTAAACAAAAGGCATAAAAAAGGAATATGAAAAAGGCCCTAAACCAGGAGTGGATAACAGATAATGGCTGAGGAAAACCAAGAATACAAAAACTTACTATTATTTGACAAAAGTTTGAAACTATTTTGCTAATCCAACAAAACACATTTTGCTAAATCCCATCTCATTTTGAATGTCACCATTCCACAATGCCACCATTTCTATACAGGGTGTCCCGAAATGAATGTAATGAAAATATAATTTGATTTCTATATTCACACGGATTGTTAAAGTATACAATTCCTTCATCTTCTATATCTTATCAATATTGCATGCAATGCAAATTTAGGTATCAGCTTTGTACAGTAATTAACCAGCATTTAAAATCAGTCTAGTCCTGTCCAAAGCTTTTATCGCTTTCAAATAATATTAAATATTATAAATCAACTGAAATAACTTAAATTCTAACAACTGTTTTTTCACTTCAAGAATGACTACAAAAATGAAAAACTCTTGTTGTGTTACACAACTCCTGTTCCAACCCAAATCCGTGTGCCCTAAATCTCCTAACAAAATCAATGTTATTGACACCGGCCGGAACATTATGGTAAATCTTGGCGTGCTGAGATACCGCAAGAAGTAGCATAAAACAATTAGCTTTCTGTGTTAAGTGTCAACGCTTCTTTAATAGGACCTACAAAGGCAGGCAAACTTGTTGAGTATAATTTATTCACTTCTGGGTTGACGCCATTGCTGAAGACTTTTTTTAGTTAAGGGGTAAATGGCATACCTACTTAACAATTTTTGCAAATGTCTACCTACCTCGTATTTCGATGCCATTTCTTGATAACTTTATGTAGAATTTCGTTGCAAAATGGTTTCAACCAAAAACACATTTCGCAATTCCTTCTAATGTTTACTGACCAAATTCGAGATGTTTTGTTAAAAGCAAATGAGAGCAAAATGAGCTGCCTTCCCTGCTGTTTGAAGATACACAGTCTCCCAGCTAATATCAATGGAAATAATTTAGCTACATGATTTTAAGTTTGGGACAAGATTTCTACCTAAACTCTCACACTACAGCATGAAACAAGTTGTCCGTTCTATGGGCATTATTTTCCACGCCAAATCGCCGATACGTATGTTTGTTTCATGTTGGCAAAAGACTCTTCATGAAGTGTGCAATTGAGCCGAAAGCATCAACAGCACAATATCTAACTCTCAATTTAGATCTAACATTCAAGTGCTGATTTTCATGCATAAATCCGCTCAAAGTGCTTGTGGGGTTTCAGAAATGTGAGTTTTAAACTTAATTTCGGGCAGCTTAATTAAAGCAATTAATTATAGCAGGAAGGAGCGTTATGGCACTATTCAATGTTGCCTTTTCACTTTTAGGATTTTGTTGGCGATTTGTTTTATGAGCTCGCTGTGGACTTTTGCTTATTCAGCAAGGGTGATACCGACCTCTTCCTGCAAATGTTGGCAGGATTATCAAGCGGAAATTGGAGAGTCAGGACTTCAGTGTGTGGCTTTAGGTAAATTTACTTTATTATTATAATTAGTCAGCCTGGGTGGTTTTAGACAGATCTTGCGACCGTTTGTCGTTGGGTGAAAATGTTATTTAATGATGCAGGTTGGACTTTCAATGTTGCTTAAAAAAATCGTATCGTTTTCTGAACATTTAGCCGCTTTATCAAAGTTTTGGGTTCGCTTTTTGCTTGTATTATGCACGTTTTTTCGGAATTCGTGTGGACGCATTGATTGGAAGCTTTGACCAGAATTTGTGTAAATGATCCCAATATTTAAAGTTTTAGTTTGAACATTTTTTTAAATTAATTATTATTCTCTCAAATATGGACAAAATGTGCAACAAATGACGAGTTTAGGCAATTTATAAAGCGAAATATCGCAAAATGCTTTTTTACGAAAATTGAGTTTAAATGTTGTTCAACAATCTGAAAATTTAGCTCAAAAACCTCAAATAATTAGTATTTGGAAGTTGAAACTTTGCGATTACAATTTGTTTATAAAGATCTGCAGATCAAATACATGTAAAATGCAGACTCAGTCGTCCAATTAAATTCATACTTTTGATTTTTCGGTTTTACAAACATTTATCTGTTATCTGTTAGCTGTAAGTGAGCGAAGAAAAGTAGCACAAGTCAGAGATAATCATCTTAAGAGCACTTTACGATAGAGTTAAGAAGCTTCTGGAAACTTGCCAAACTTCATCGTTTGCTTAAACAGGCTTTATTTAAAAGCCAGCATATTTCTGCATATTCTAATGCAGCTGATTGTACTATATTCTTTATATGGGTAATTTTTTGGAATTGCTAACTAAGTTGGAACTTTAAGTGGACTTTTGTCTTTCTCAGATCAATTTCATGTGATGCCCTGTAATATGCCGAAACTACCAAAATGTGAATGTTCCGGCGGGATCAGCAATATTCTAAAGGATGAGAGTGGCACTTGGTGCACCAAGTACACGAAAGGGGAGGAACAAATGCGATGGCCATGCGAAAACGCCCAAGAATGGGACGATTTTTTCCAGAAAAATCCCAATTTGCTTTAAATGCATGACTGGAAGGGTTTTACTATTTCTTTACTGTATGGAAGCCTTGAGGTGACATGTTTTGAACCGTTTGGTTCAAAATTAACAAAGTAATTTGACTGTATGTTTGTGTTGATTGAGTAGAACAGAGGACATCATTATTTGAAAAAAAAAGGATTTAGTTGTCTAATCAAAGGCTTGTTAAATACATGTTTGTGTTCGAATTGTCGCTTTAAAAGTTTCGAAAAACCCTGTGAGTTTAGTAAATTGCATTATTTAAATCAAACATCCAACTATAATTATACACATTGATCTAATACTAATGGAGGAACATTATAATTATTTGACCAATGATAATAATAATTAAACCAGATCAGTGTTCCGTGTTTCGAATAAATACAATTCAGTAATGTAAATATTAATTATATTCAATGTAATAACAAACGGAATTAATTGGCCCGTTATTTATTCAATTTATGCTGATGGGCCCATTGTCTTTATTTTCAATGTTATTGTGTCAAATTTGATATTTTTACCGATTTCGTATCGAACATAATGGCGCAATAAATAAAATTGCTGCATTTTGCTTTTCTCCGTAAAAAAATATATTTTAGTTATTTGTTATATTGATTAAAGTAATGAAAAAATCCAAACTTAAAACGCTTTAATATTTACCACATCTTTTGTCTTAGTGTTAATGTCTCATCTTAGTCAAGTTATATCATTATTAGTTTCGAATGATGTTTGAAACTAATAAAATAAAGTAATAATCTAAAATGACTTATACATTGCCAGAAGCACGCTTTTTCCAGCTTGTTAGCAGTTCTAATTCCTTTTCCCTTTACAATTCCTAACATTACTGTGCAAACTTTAGTTGAGTGTAGTAGCAACCTAAATGTGTGGACTTCGATGGCACTCACTAAGACTGTTTTGTTTGTTTAGTAACTTTATGGACGGAAACTAAAGGCTACATTCAATATAGATTTGCTGAGCTCCCATGTTTGGGAACATAATTTATTATTTACAACATTATTTGAAGTTTAAAAGCCCACAGGTGGAATCAACTGGAAAATTTATTTTTGCATCAGCAAAGGATCATTTACTGACTTTCCTGAACAGAAACGTTTGAAATGTTGTGATTGGCAAGAGAACAACGACTGTATTCAATATTATGAAAAATAGTCCCCGTTTTTGAGCAGAATAGAACATGTTTCATAAAATCTAATCCATTCAATCGAGCACTCAGTGTCTTTATGCAGGCATTACCAACCCCAGCAAAGACCGTTTTTTCCTCCCTTTGCATACTTCATATCGGTCGTCGCTAAAAAACAATGGTTATGACGGGTATAAACTTGTTTACGACGTGCATTTTTATGTATATGTCGTTGTCCCCTAGCTTTTACTACGTAGAACGTCGAGCAAGACCAGGACCGAAAGTAAATTAGGGTTGGGTTATGCTGGCAGAGTGGAAACAAGTCACGTTTTTAAGACCTTATATTTTGTTAAGCTCTTTCGATTTATAGATTTGAGGATTCAGGCATTTCACAAAGGGTGTAAGAACCAATTTTGGCCTCAATCGTTGTTTACCCAACGAAAAATTACCATAATCAAATCGTCCCTGGGGAACCGTGTAGTTTGTTGGAGTTCTGAGCACTTTGAAATGTTCTGCTGACCGACAATTTGCTAGCTTTTATATTGTTACACGCTTTACTGTGCAGATTTGATACGAAATGAATACAAATGTGCGTTTTTATTTATTTTATTGGCGTTGGCGCAGTGGAGACATGAAAAAAACTTCGCCCAATGTGGCATTCACTTTTTCAAATAAATACCTTCAAAGTTTTCACACAGTTTTATGTGGTTTTTATTTGTCAGTTCTGAACTATTTCGCGGAGTAAATTCAACTTCGTCTTCATATTAAAAGCTTTATTTAACTTCCTTTGTTTCCTTTGGTTCTGTTATGTTAGTGTGTTTTCACTTCGATTTAGAACAGCTGCGTTTGCAATAGCTAGTTCAGTTTTTAGAAGTTGACCCAAACATATCATGCAATCCAATCTGTCCTGAAAAAACGACCCAAATTATTTGATAGTTATACAAGAGAGTGTGCTTTTCATTAACTGGAAAATATCTGAAAGGACCTAAAAGTAACCGAAAAAGGTAACCCGGTAAGGGAACAGTAAGCAAAATTATGTAAAAAATACGAACATTAATTTACTGAGAGCAGAAATCCAGTTTAGTGTTTCTTCTTCCCTGTTTGTCCCTAAAGACTTTTCTTAAACTACTCCAGAGGCCTGACCCAAATATTGAATTAACTTGAATGGCTCGATAATGATACTGGTCATGTCGATTCAAAACGGTCATGTCGATTCGAAAATCGTAGATTCTAATGATTAAAATATAAAAAAGTTGCAAAAAAATTGCTGAAATTTTTAACAGACTTTAAATTTATCACACGATTTAATTAGCTGACTAAAAGCAAATCGTAACTTTAATTAACTCGGCACACACTTGAATTGTATACTTCACATGTCACTTTTGTGCTTTGAACTATCTGAAAAAAGTATCGTTTTGCAACTTGCCATCACCTACGCGGCCGGTTTCCATTTATCCTATAATCTCTTTCGTTTTTGCTTAAATCCTAATTACATGTTAGAAGTGTTTACCATGGGAGTTGCGTTCCATTTATTTTTCATTAACGCGAATAATGAAACTTATTTGCAATTAGTGCGCTTTTAATTAAAAAGGGCGAATTAGGTAGCAGCTTAAGGGATTAAGTGAAGAGTTGGTAATTTTACATGCGTTACATTTCAAGGGTTTTAACAGCTAGTAGTGGCAAACCAAGTAAAATATTGTGGCTATATGAAACGTTTTGTATTTATATAGTAATATGTGAATTCAAAATTGCTGTTTTAATAAATAAAGTAGGATGGTTTGATTCATTCAATCATGAAATAACTTCTCTTGATTCGGTCTGTTTCAATCTCATTTTGCTATATATTTCTAGATTAATATTTACTTATGATTGTGTTTTAAATCTGCTTAATTAATTTTGTGTGAAGATTATACAATTTAGTTTAGTTAGTTCTAGCAAATAATATGTAAATACTGAAGATGAAACATCCAAGATGATATTCGACATACTAGATTTCGATAAAGTAATAGAATTGCTGTGCAAGGTGCAGTCGATTCTGCATCAGCTTCGCCGATGTAAAACGATATTAAATGGAATGTGATTTAGCAAACATCAAGCCAAATTGAAAAATGTCAGTTTCAAATTGAAAATTTACCCCAGTTTAAATCAATCAGCTTGATTAAATCCATCAACTATTACATTAAATGTAAATAATATTTATATTGCTGAATGCTGTTTAATTAGAAAACCGATCGGTTCAATCTATTGCCAGTGGCGCAATAATCATAATGCATTATAATTATTATGTTTTATTAAAATTGCAGCCAAGTAATTTCGAGTTAGCGATATATCTTGTTTTGGCAGATCCAAACTAAATTGCGAAATGCACACTGATTGCGAAGCTTTTGCAGCTCCAATTTACAGTTTATGGAACTTACTTTATTAGTATAGTTATATGTTAAGGAAAATTTCTGAAGTAAGAACTGTTTGGAAATTTATAAAATCTATTTCAATGTTAGGGTTATCAGTTATCAGAAAGTTTGCATTTTATAAACACAGAAAAAACAAAATGGTCGCAATAAAACTGCCATCTATGATAAAAACTGAAAAATATGCTTTATGAACACCGGAAATTGACCAATAATTTAACCGTTCCACCTGCTCTACGAGGAAAGACCAGTTATGAAATGTCGAAGAACGATAAACTTTACGTGGCAGACTTCCCGTAGATATGAGTTCGATAAATTACCTCGTGTACCAACGAATTTGGATCGTCGATGTACTTTCCAGATTTATCGCCTTTCTTAACGGTTTTATAGAACCGAATCCCGGACTTATTTTGAAATTATTTCCTGCTTTGAATTTACGATGGGTATTTGTTGGGAAAATAATTTATTTAGTTCTGCTACATTGAACATCATTCACTATATGCGATATTTATATACATGAAGATTGGAAAAGCGAACAGAACCTTGGGTGCGGAAAATATGGATGACTATTTAACTTTTTCAGCGCAGCCTATACCACATAGACAATGTACTTTTGGTAAACGAAAAATTTTAAAAGTTTTCTAAAGGACAAAGCAAAGCCCAAGTTGGACTGGTGAGCTTTTCTGATCTTCGAGATTTCACAGAAAATAATTTCTTGGGGAACGTGCGGAACAAATTATTGTCCTCGAAAAACATATCAGTTTCTTGCAATGGTCGCGAAAACTTAACTATTTTGACACTATCAAGCTCACACTCTACACTCTGTAGACACACACATAAACATTTTGTTTCTCAAATTCAGCAGAATGGTTCATAAATATAATTTACTTTTGAACATGATGAAATCTGCATCAAAAGAACTGAAATGCAATAGAATAAAACAGACTGTGTATAGGAAAATGTATATTATGGTTGAGTAAAAACAAAATTGTGGTCGGTTTTGCTAAAGTAATTCATAAATGCAAAGCGAGTTCAACCTTCTTAGTTAATGAACTAAAATGTTATGAAAATATTAGTAAATAATCATGTTTTCAAAAATATGGGTTATAAAAGCATAAAGTTATCCACTGTTTCGCGCAATCCACATTTAATGCAAGCGCAATTTTAACAATAATTCTACATTTGTGTCTAGTTCGGATTCAAAGTCATGACCCAACACAAAACATTGGGAAAACTCCTAAAATGGCTCAGGATTTAATTCTTAATGCAAGCAATTTTCCTCCCATGTGGGTAACGAAAACAAAATATTTCGGTTCAACCAACTTTTCAAGTCACGTTCAAGTCCTTCAAATCTCAATTTCAACTTTTCTGCAATCAAATTAAATATTTCGACATTGATCGTGTCCAAACTGGAAGCTTTTCATTTCGATCTGCTTCTATTTCCCGAACAACTTTCTTTTTTCAGCTATCCCTTGAACTATTTTATCTTTATCATCCGTCAATAATGCCTGTTGTCCTGCGTGCCTGTTTATCGTTTCTCTGACCTTCTTGTGGAAATTGAATGTTTTTGTCTGCCTCTCCATATTCGCTTCTTCCTTCTTACATGGTGTTCTGTATTATCCTTTCTTGTATTCTTTTGGTGGTTGTGAAACCGCTGTTTTTTCATCAATTGTTTGGCATTTTACTTTTAAGCCCTCTGATTCGTCAATGTCCTATCCATATTACGGTTGTTACTCGGGACTTACTTAGAATATTTGTTTAATATATTAAGAATTATTTGGCTCCTTTTCTAAGGATACAATTTTTCTTAATGCTGTTTGAAGATGATGTTGAGTACCAAAACTTCGATTCTTCTTTTCTTCTGTCTTCTTTTAAGAAATTGTATAATAAAGAGTGCTCTAAGAAGAACGCCGGGTTTGTGTTAAATAAAAGGTATATGTGTTTTTAGTGAGTTTCAATTTTTCATAGCCAGGTGTARTTGGTACTTCCGCCTTTGGAGCTTTGATCACATAAATTTGTCACTTGAAAAAACGAACAGAAAAAAAGTCCATAGGCGTTAAATTGCATGATATTGACGGCTAATCCCTATCTCCAAAACGAGAAACAACACGAACAAGAAATGGACTCGTGCAGTGATACAGCGGTTCCTCTGGTTTTATCGCATGTTGATACCAGATGCTGTTCAGATCCACATTTCGTTTTTTTTTGCGCAAAAAAGCTTACGATAGAAAAATCGCCATCCAGTCGTCGTCCAATCCAATTAACAAACGCTCTTCTTTGCCCATGGTCTCTGGTTTTAGCTCTTAAGCCAATTCCGATCTGTGCAAATTCATTTTCAAATAATTTGTTAAAATTCGTTGCATAGTTGTTGTGAAAACGCAAATTTCCTAAGCTCTATGCTAAATTGTGGTCGCGCTTTCCTTATGAATGCATGCACTGCTGCGATATTTCAAGTCAAGCGACAAAAAAGAAAGCTTGTTTCTGTTTTCTCGTTGGCATTGGGATTTTGAATTTGCTCAATTTTTTTCAATGCTCTTTTACATTGGCTTCATTTCGACCAATCCGATGACTCATAATTTTACGCATTTTGGGAACTATGGCTGCAAAACTTTCTCCAACTGTGATAGTAATTTCTTTTGTGTTACTTACTGCTGTGTCCTAAAGAATGCCACGGACACACATTTTTTCAATGTTAAAAATGACACTGTAAGGAGCAAAAAATTCAAAACCGACGTTTATTTGGGATACCCTTATATGTTGTTTTTTCTCTCTTTTCTTTTTCTCTACCCAGAAATCTCCTTTGTAGAAACTGTATAATAATACATATATTATGTTTTTTTGAAACACCTAAAAGACAATTAAATATTTTTCATTCTGGACACCTCGTTATTGTGTTATTGTTACACCTCGTGTAACAATTGATTATTTATTAACAGTATTTGAACATTGTTTGAAAATAGAGTTGGGAATGTGATTGACGAAAACTCATTGTGAAATGTAAGCAAACGTGAACAAAACAAATTCCCACATGTAGGATTAAATTCTGCAGTTATTTTAAAATAAAATCCATTTCAATATTCAATTTCAGTTTTAAAATAAATTCAGAGCGCAAATTAAATCGCCAGCGATCGTTATTCAACTCGCCAGTTTCGCGAAAAAACAATCAAATATATTGGCATTGTGTGGCCGGCTTTGTATTGATTAAATTTCAATAATTAATAGAAAAATGCTGATACGCCATGTTATGTTTTCGATTTGCATTCAGAGGAATTCCGTCAACAACCCGTTTCCTGCTGCATGTATTCAATAATCAAATGAACCATATATTTGAAGGCAAATTACCTAGGGGAATCTTGACGTACTATCAGTAATTACTTGAGCTTAGATATACTAAATCAATAAGCGCGTGTTATTCGCTTTGGCTAGTGCAAACATGATTTCGAACATGCAAAACCAATGTGGGTTGAATATAATTCAAAACTGAATCAAAGACCAATCAACAGAAGTCAATGTTCATTAACAAGTTTAATGGATTTTCAAATATTTGTTTTTCTTTTTGAAGTTATGAAAGCTTGTGAAAATTTCCTAGAAGAAACTGAACAAACAAGCCGGGAGTAGTCTAAAAGTGGATATGAGCAGGCCTTTCTACGAGCAAAGATATAATAAATGGAGTAAACATTTTATAGACAATAAATGCCAATCGAGCCAAAGCAAGGTAGACCTACGCATTAAAGACCTAAGAGATTTTTGCAGGTTGTAATCACAAATTATATTAACATACAAATCCAACATATCTTAATTCCACTGTCATATTAAACCAGTTAATTTATAATTCCTTTCAATAACATTCAGGTTAATAGCCAAGCAGCTAAGCAATAAAGGCTATTCGCCTACTTGAATTCGCTGCATTAAATTTAAAATTTAATTTAGCTCGGTCTCAACCGCATTTTTAATGTGAGTCTTCTTGAAATCAACTTGAATATTTACAGCTCAAAAACTTCGGTCTTGTCTAGCTGCTGATAATTAAATATTTATAAAATGTTGACGAAGGTAAGCAGACAAGTTTAACAGAAGCGCACCTAAATTAATTAACTCGCGGATTCCTTCTGGAGGTTTCGTTTGACGAAATAAAGTAGACGTAGTGGCGTGAAGACGTTAATTAAATTTTCGATTTTGGTGCTTGCGGTGCGTCGAGATATTTGAACATTCACTTGGATGCTAGAATATTTTGTTATCTATTTATGGAAAACTGTAGATATGGAACACACTCAATGGTGAGATTTTGGATCTTTGAGATTCTACTTTGAGATTGAACGTATGGGGTTCTTGGGATGAATACTACTAAGTACCTAAAGAATTGGCATAAAACTCAATGGCCATAGGATGCTTTAGGACAAAAGAAGCACTGAAACAATTTCGGATCAATGGATTTTGCCAGAATAAACGCCCCCTCCTTCCAGACAATATCTTCCTTAGCTCATACAAGATTTAAGTGGCGCTATTCGAGAAGAGATATGTGTCGCAGGACGGTGCAGTAATGATAGAAGGGATTAGGGCCCCTAGGGGAGCGCTAATGCTACCCTTAAGACGTTTTAGGATGACCCTTTACACTGTATATTGAGATTTATTTCGGTGCTCCCGTTCAGTGAATTCCCCAATTTACGGAACACCTTTGTAAGTTTAAACGATCGTCTACGTACTTTGGAGATATAATTGATCGTTTCGTCTAGTTTATGGTGAAGGAACTGAGTTTAGGATGGCATTTTTGAGGCCATTAATTCTGAAGGGAACTATTACATTTTCGGGAAAAAATCCATTGAAAAGTAGCAGACACTACTTTAAAGGAACAGTAGGAACAATGGAATTGAACAGCTAAAAATTAACAGGTCAACAAGGAATTGTGCAACAGATTTTTTAATGCGCTGTTGCATTAAGAGATAATACTTACAAATATCTAACTTGGCTAAAAAAATATTAATGAACTATTTCACGTCGAGTGGACAAAATAATTGTTGCATTCGAAACATGCCCTCAAAAGCAAACGGCATGCTATTTGCTTTAAAAATAGCAGACTCGATTAATCCAAATAGGGGCTTGTGGACAAAGCTAAAATAAGTTCAATTGTTTGCAGCACTATTTGTTTGCATTGGTTTGTTATGGTTGCTTCAAAAAGTCAACTTGCATTATTCGTCTATTTGTTTTTTATGTTTTGCCGTTTAAAAGCTTTCGCCGACGATTTTTCGCCCACACAAAGTTTGATTACGTTCACTCTAAACTTCAAAGTGCTTTATCGAAAAACTTTCAAATCAGTCAGCTAAAAAGTTACTATTGTTTTTCATTTGCATTCAAAGTACACATCTTAAAAAGGAAAGAAACGCAAAATGTACTCATTACACAGATTATTATCTATTGAGATATTTTAAAAAAATCACAAGTCAATTATGTAGTCAGTATTAAAACATCACGGTGGCTAACGTTGCTTGGATAATTAAAAAATTATCATATCACTTTTGTTCTCAGTGTCTTCTTATTTGTCTGATACACGAAATAATTCATCAAACAGGTAATTTGAAATAATCAAAAAAAATGTGTGAACTAAAAATATTAACGATTTAACTGTAGAATTCAGTACACAAAGGTTAGATTGTTTAGCTTTTGCACGCACATTCAGGGCAGATATTGCAAAATATACTAATTATGTATCAGTAGAATACGTGGGCCAATTTTGGTGGGAAAATCAAAAAGTACAGAAACTAGTTATTTCTGTATTTTTCCTCACTATATTCTTATCTATCTGGCAGTTTTATTCGCTGTTTTAATATACTATTTTTTACTCAAAATATTCAGCATTTTACTGTCATATTCGTAGAATAATAAAGTTTTTAGCTTTTGAACTATCAAACCATCAGGAGGATGATAAACGATATAAGTTGTTCCTAACATAACATTTTGATTGAGGGCCTGATTTTAAAAAATGTATCATCAAATAAATCAGCATCAAAATTTCATAACTAAACCTTTTCTAAATTAACTTCGCCCCGGTCTACTACTCTACTCTACACTACTCTACAACCCAAAAAGTTTAGAGGAGAAGAAAGCATGGTTTAACTATTAGTAGCCCTGCCAACTTCGAATTTTTTTCGAGAAATTATCGTTTCCTATCAGTATCTACTACTGGCATTATCTTTTCCTATCAGTAGCTCCTATCAATCGCTTTAGGATTCAGTAGTTCAGTTACCGTAAGACTTTATTTTTGTTGCGTATAGTACGGAAATTACAAAGTTGAAGTTGCGTTCTTAAAACATCCACTCAAATATATTTGATTTCACTTTTCCTCGCCAGTTTTGATTTATCACATATTAAAAGCTATTAACATTTTCGTATCATCATTTGCTCTGATCGACTCCCGCAGAACGCAATGTAAAAAGTAAATAATAACCGTCTACCCGCAAACGATTCTGCACAAACATAAAGCCTAGAATCGGGAGAAAGGCTTATAATTTCGAAGAATATCCAATATTATTTTGCGTCGACGACCCTTGGAGTTTTTTGTCAATAAAATATAATAGGCAATAACTCTCGAAATTCCCATCTTAGCTAAGGGTGCTCGTTTAATCGCGAGCACTAATCTTCCTCTGTGAAAAATTGCCACGTCAGAGTATACAAATTACAGCTCACTCTTAAGCTTGCCGGTTTCGTACAGTTTTTTCTCTTGAAATCTGCGCGAAAAATGGTCCTAATTGGCTAATGCTTTTTTAATTTTGTTAAAAATGGGATCGCGGCAACGGAGGTGTACAAATGAGGGTTGCATTAGGACGAAGAAAAGTGATACCGACATTACTAGGGGGCAGCAATTTTGTACACTGTTTTCTAGCTAACTGCAGCTATTAATACTTGAAAAAAATAGCTATGCCTTTGCCATTTAACAACTTTCCTACTAAACTAAAAAAAAGCTTACATTAAGGTCGCGTATTTAGGGCGATTTGGCAGCTCAAACTCGCTTTGTGCAAGCTCTTGACTGTCTGTATTAAGCAACCAATCCAGCAAAATTGGATTTCTAAATTCTCGGTTATGACGTGCTTTGTGAATTATTATCATCGTAACTGTCGGACGCCGCTCAATTTAGGAGGGGAGTTTGTCGCAGGATTAAGGATGTACAGGGATTAAGATTAACAGGTGCATGTTTGCCTAAATTGAATCAAATAGGGTGCCAGCAACGCTGTTCTGTTCGCTGCGAACATGCGATTCAAACATTATTTATTAATTTTCCAAACCCCTTTTTTCAGCATTTTTCTGAATGCGTCCATATGTGAGTTTATGCGTGTCCAGAACTAAATATAATAAATTAACTAGCAAATTCCTGGAAATTCCGTTGCCTAAAAACATCTCTTGGAAATTTTCCTTCAACTATTTCTTTGCCAAGTATGAAGTTTACTAAGTCATTAGATCTTCTGCTGTCTAGTGTTATGTATTTAGGTAAGACCACTTAAGATACCTACGTTTATTTGCGTCTTTTTTTCCGAAATTCTCTTAAAAACTTTGATTGTTCTGTTGACATTTTGAGCTACTAGTAGCGATTTTTAAATATTTCTGTTGCTTTCATTCATTGAAATGTTTTGCACTAATTTGTCTTGATCTCCACCTTTTCCCTCTCTAAAGCAGAAAGCTTTACTTCACCATCGAGCTGCGATATGCGATCCACACATTCCCAAAAACATTAAATACTGATGTTGTGCATTGACTAAGCGTTTGATATGTCGGATAAACGAAATGTTTAGCCACTGAACTAATTTCTTCTGATTAGATAGATGCGCACTTCCAACCGGAAAATAACTTTTATTTACATTTTACTTGCCATAAAACACACACTCCCAGTTGGAATATCTTATCAAACAAAAACGCCATTATTTCATAAATAAACTAAAAATTCATTGCCAAAAATAAATCGATTCACAGCATATTAAATGGAATTTGCAACTTCATTCTTGGTGGCCGTTCCAATGAACCATTTCCACACAAACAACCGGTAAATGAATGTCAATATTAAAATAGAAAAATCCATTTCCAATACAGCTATTTAACTTCGGATGTGGCGCTAATCGTTTCTTTGTAATACTCGATGATTAATGCTATTCAAGCGTCATTACGTGACTGTAAGTTTGAATGGGAAGCCACAGATAGTCCCCTATTTGTAATATTAGTTAATGTATTTTCCTATTTCATTGTAATGCCGCATCTGATATCTGAACAATGAAGGCTAAAGGTATTAGTGCGGCATGTTTTAGAAATATCGCTGATGCAAATCGATTGATTAAAGCTAATTGCTGGCTTTAATTAGAGATGAAATACGCTTTTCCTGCTATAAAACGCAATTTAAACTAAATATTTCATGCAGATTTCAGTAAAGCTGTAAAATATTCATCACTTGTTACCTTTTCGATCTCGTCTAAATTGGCGCTGACTGTTCAAATATTCACTCACCTGAAAAAAAAAAAGAAGAAAAGACGTGAATTTGCAATTCTATAAAGGTTTCCTTTAAATTAGCCCGAAGGACCTTTTATGTATTAACCAATTCCCCATTATCCGCCTGAATGCACATTAATGCGCTCAGCAGTTGAAATGCTAAAATTCAACTTATTTCTCATGATTTCTAATTTGAAAAATCTCATTTTTTTACTCAATAATTTAATTAATTACCTTTCCATTTTCCATTAGGAAATGCTACATGTAGAGTAGGGTCAAATGTCAGTCAGAAAATGGGCATAACAGCGGTGGAAACTCGGGGAATTGTTTAATTTCTGCTTAGTTTCAATAATTTCACTACAACTTTGAGGCCTTTCAGGAGCAGACCTTGATAATAGAGTAGGGACCATGTTGGGCAGGAACAAATCAATTAAACTAAATTGTTTGAAAATATCAAAAAAGTATATCAAATTAAGGAAAAGTTTTCGCCAACCTCTAATATTAAACTCTGGTAAAAATCAATTTCTTATTGCTCCTATTGTGACAAAATCCAACTTGAAACAAGTGCGTTTCATACATGAGTCTTATGGCCAAGATTTATTGGATACATTTTGGAAAACTCAAAGAACTAAAAGAAATTTCACCACAATTGTAATAAAAAAATGTAAAATACACTGCCATATCCTAATTTTTCCCTAACTTTCCACTGTGAATATTTTCTCAGTCCATCTTCGGATTTGAATGTGTTTTTGAATTGAGAATTGAAAAAACTTTGCCTGGTAAGATAAGCAAAAAATGAAATGAATGTATTAGATAGGATGTTTATATACAGCCATATATTCTTGGTCAAAGTAAACTTTTGACAAGTTGCCAGCTTTAATATGGTAAAAAAATTTTCATTGCTCATCTTTCTTCAGATTAAACACAAAACGTTTCAATAAACCTCGTGCAAAAAGTGTGAATGGCTAGAAATAAACAGACGCTTAAAGATTAAAATTACGCAGAAGACGTGAGACAAACGCAAAGCAAATTTTTTGCTGTCCGCGCTAACAGATTTTACACAGATGGTTTTAAACTTTTACCAAGAAAACATCACACTATTTAAACACTTTGTACAAGATGTTTATTACATTTTCAATAGTAAATAAAGAAAGTTAATAAGTTCAATCGGAAGGCAAAAACAAAACCCAACAAAAAAACCGAAATTGATAAAGTATTAATACGGACGAACCTAAGAAAAACCAACTACTTTGATTGAATAATAATTATACTGAACTGTGGAGTTCTCTTGTGGAGTAACTTTATTATTGCTTCTTAACTTAACCTTTTACAATAATTTTTGTCAACAGATTAAATTGTGTGACCATTTCCTATAATCAAGACTATATTTCAAACTAAAATTCATTGGAATATTTTTTCGTAATTCGTTAACGGTTAGCACAATTACCATCCCGCTGTAGCTTATGGTGCAGACCTTTACCTGCAGTATGAGAAAAATGATGTAGTAAACTAGGAAAACCTTAGGATAGCTTCCCTGCGCAATATGTTCTGCATATAATGGCAAATTAAGTCATTTTCCAGAAATTTATTGCTTTAATTTCGCCCCGGCTAGATGGTGACTTTAAATTTAGAAAATTCAGGGCGATTTTCCTTTTGGTCTTTCCCACTTTATTTCCCGAATAAATAATTGAGACTAAGGACTGGAAATATTCTTCTATGCATTTTGAGCATTAGTTGTGCTGGATAATTAAGTTCCACCAGAGCAAAGCGTTGTTTTCAAGAAAACCATCAGGCATAAAAGCGTATGTGTTGTACCATCAAACGATCAATAATCAAACTTTTATTTTGTAACAGGCGTTTAAAAGAGGTTTCAGCAATTTAACGGGGATAAACAATGCCTGTGCAATTTTATCCGCAATTAGTGTTTGATTTGTCGGATTTTAAAAGTGCAAAAACTAGCGATTTCCAAAGCGCAGTTATGTTTTATTGCAACTTTCTCCAAACGTAGTGCAAAACTTGGCTAATTTACTGGCTTCCTTGTTAACCGTCGTAAATTCTCCGGATATCACGTCTACTTTTACCAACTGCCATTTCAGCGCGTTCAACGCCAAAGTTATAGACGCCAGCCACGTTTTCGAGTTTTCATCTTCCACACGGAACTTAGCAGGAGGTATTTATAATTAGAGCCTTTCAACTCTAAAAGGTTGATTGATTCGAGACGTCTAAAGTTTGCTGAACGGGGTGATGCTGTTGTAAAATAACTCTATAAAATTGGGTCGACCAACTCAGAAGAAGAATAGTAGCTAAGAAATCTTTTAGACTTTGGTCTGTTTGCAATTTGGTTTCTTGAGCGAGACATATATTGAAATCAATTATATTTATTCAACTTGAAAATACAAAAAAAGAGAAGAAGCTCAAGAAGAATTCCGGGCAGAGACTGAAAATTTTTGCGAACTGCTTCAAGCTGTAGAAAGCGTTGTTGACGATAAACTCACTTTATAATTCGTGAAAATCAATAGTGCTTTTATACCCAAGCAACAAAATCAAGGCTAAATAACACTGAAAAATAAAATCTGTATTTTTCTCATTTGATCTTTTTCCCTTTTGTTACCAATAACACTATTGAAAGCTATAAATCGTTGTTGTCCCAAAAACACCTTCTATTATTTAATGAGAGTATTTTTCTTGCAAGTTTTATTTGTAGCTTCCGTTATGTTACGGTATTCAAATTTCAGACCTTCGGATGCTTTTCGATGCTTCACTTTGCGGTTTTAGGTCACCGTGAAGTCGATAAACAGCGGTTCATTCAGAGGAACACGCATGTTCCTCCACAATAAATTTTTCGTCTGTCCCAACCGGACCATTTTCTTGACTGGCTATTTAAAATTAATTACCCAAAACGCAAAGTTATGCAAAGGCCCCTTTATTTGAAACCGGTGGCAACTTCTCCTTCCATCACGGTAAATGAAATGGTCCTGAATAAAATCAGATATATGTTGTTCTGATATTGCCATTTTCCCCAAATCCATGAAGCGAAAAAATGCCAACATAAGTTTTATTTCAATACGACTATTTAAATTGGGAATTGAATGGATTATACTTCAATGAAAGAAAACACGATTCCCAAAAAACGACTGCGATGGATAAACTGAGCAGAAAAGCTCTCCATTTAGTTGCTCGGTAACCTAAAAATATCTTCGAGTAAGGTAAGCCGTTCTCGAATACAACTTAAATCCCCAGCTATTGAACGTTTTCTAACGGTCACATTTAATCCCCTTCCTCCTGACGACCTAAACAGAACAAAGAAACGAAATAAAAGTCTCTATAGGACTTAACATCTTAAGCCTGTTGTTTGTTCATTATTATTGTGTTCGCAGAACACAAAGACGAAGTTTCTGCCCCGCAAAGAAACCGAACTTCCAAATGCTTTTATTTTAAAACAAATATAAATTCTGCGGCTTTTGACTTTTTCTCCATATATTTTCTTGCGTGCTGGAGGGGAACACTTTGATGCGAGTGCTTAAAGGATGCCTTTAAACTGGTTTTAATCAACATTCCAATGCGGGCCTTGATCAAATTATATATAAATAAATCATCTTTATTTCCTACAGAAAAAGGCTATCGACCCAATCGGTCTTTCTGCCCATCAAATTATATAATTGTCATTTTTTATACTTTTTTTTATACTCTTAATACAGTATATACATACAGTTATTTCGTTTTTTCTGAATTATTAGATACTTTTTTAAAAACGTCTAACACCCTAAAAATTTGAGTTGCGTAGATCTTCAAAACAGATTTAAAAAACTAGAAATTATCTGTATGTTTCTCGTCGTACTTAATATGGTCAATAATTTGAAATATGCAGAAGGCATCAGTCAGTTGCAGAGTGTTAGAACCATCGACAATGTATTGCTTTTGTGATGAGGAGGATTGATGCTCTCATCGTTGGATCGCCTGGATCTCTCAGGTTTATAATATTATTCATTTCTGCCGTCCAATACTTCTCACGGTCCTCTACATAAATGTTTAAAAAATCTGGAGAAAAGATGCATCTACTAGTATCTCCAAGATACAAAGGGTAGTCCCTATTCTTCTAGTAACTGGTTCTTATGAGAGCAATTAGCTGTTTTGGTTCTCTCATCTTGTGAAAAATCTTTAACAGGATTTTGTTCCGTCGAAAGGAGCTTTAGGCATTTTCCTATAATGCCACTAAGAAAGCTTTCAAAATCTCGATTGGATTTTCAAATAACATTAATTTTGGAGTTTTGGAGTTGACTAAATAAAATATTATTAGGCTCTACTTCATATTTTTGACTGCTGGCAGCAATTTTCTGCCCTTACCGATGCTTGAGATACCATTTAAATGGTACAAACTGTCTTGATATAAATTTCAAGAGAAATTCCCCAACGCATCAAAAACAATACAAGAAAATTTCCTCGCATAATGCAACTGCATTCATTGCGACATCGGAGTCACAATATAAAAGCAAAAACCCGACACCATGAATTGCTTAAAGAATTCAAAAATAAAAGATAAATTTAAATACGTTTAGGAATATTTTCGCCATTTCACATATCTGGTGAAGGTCTATTAACTTCAAATTAAGTCATTCTCTTGGCCTGCGTCCAAATTTGCACGTATTTTTAACATGCATGTTTATCAAACATACTTTAAAACCTACACGCGATGATTCATTACAACTGTAAAAGTATTGTTTTTCTGTAATTGTAGACAATAAACAAAATAAAAACCTGTCATTACTTTAAATATTATTATTCGGTGTCCTAAAAAATGTAATTACGGTTAAAAAATGCGTTTTTTTTGTCACGTAATTTGGCAAACAGCCCCAGTAGTTTTGAGTAATGAAACGTGACTTTTCAAATTTACGACCTCTTTGACAGTGGCCATTTAATTTTAGTTTCGAATTGTTCGAACAGTTGATTTGGACCTACGCATTTTTCGTTGTCCCAGTTAATCCGCTCGCAAATTTATTATGCCACTCAAATAATAAATTT